TCCCCACCCTCAATCCCTTAACCCAGTTCCAGACACACACTTTCCCTGCAAGAAGTCAGAAATTAATTTTGAGCTACGTTCAGTATAGAGGCAGCTGCAGAAAACCTCTTTCTTCTGCCTTGATATCTAACATCTACTTGTTTCTGACCCAAAATGATGCATAACCTACAGTATCACTGTCATGAACCGTGTGCTGTATATCACAGACTGGCAGCTCTGAAGACAGTAAATGTTTTTGAGGACAGGTATGAAAATTGGAGTTTTAAGAAATGAAACTGGCAAGCTACCACTTGGAGATTGTCTGGAAGACAATTTTCCCCAAAAAAATGTGGCAATCCAAACAGTTCACTTCCTCCAACCTTTCAGAAACCCATTCTCTCTTCTTTCTATCCACTGAAATGCAGCTCTCAGCAAATATTAATGTCGAAGATAACGTCTGATTTGCTAGAGCCCAGCTTGACCATTACATGGAAACTTTGTGACTCTTTGTAAGGGACATAACATGAAAAAAAAAAAAAATTAGATTAGCTTGTGAAAACACTCAACAGACCCATCCATTGACAATGCTAGCACAAATAAATACCACAATTGGAAGTTCAACAAACGGCTTACATAAGTCTGTGAAATGAACTGTTTTCTCAGTAGAAAGGGCAAATATGACAGATGAATTTAATATGAAAAATTTATCACAGTTCAGTCTGCAAATATCAGAAAGTAACTCTTAATTTTGCATCTAACCAGAACCTGATGGCTGGACCCAGGAGTATACTCTGCAAAACATGAAAACCTTTCTCTGTTATCAAAGCTTTCCAATATAAAAATATCAACAAATTGAATTTTATCACTGTTTTTCTATCACATAATTGTCTTGTTGCTTGTTTTTGTTGGTTGGTTTTTGTTTTGTTTTTTTTTACCTGATTAACTTGTAACCTCGGGCCAAGATTAGTATAGATCTCTTTAAGAAGATCTATTGCTCTGTTTGCGATGTCATCATTTCCCTGAATCACAACCTAGCATAATAAAAATAAACATTAGAACATTTTAAAACTTTCTGGCATAAAATTTTAAACCAAAAAGAATATGTAAGTATCTTGACACAAGAGGATGTCTAATTATTTTATGAGGTGAAAGTGACTAAAATGCTTAGTTACAAAATACAATCAATACACCGAAGTTAATTATGTAAGAGTCAAAATTCAGAAGTTAAAAGTTTAAAGGAGGTTCAGAGTTAGCAGTAAAACCCAACGCTTTAAAAACAGAATAAAAGCAGTGTTTATATATTCATCTTCACTAGTTTCAGAGAATAAAACAACTATTCTTTTCAAATGCCTGAATGATCTGCATCATCAAAGGTTTAAAAACAATGTTAAAGTATTTAAATGGTTATGAGTGGGTCGAAGGGGGACAGGCAAATGGCTTCTGTTTCCGACCTTGTAATCTAAATGTTACTAGCCCCCAGGTCTGAAAGCAGCCTTTACAGACAACCCCTGCAAGATACTGAGCGGAAGCTTCCCGAGTTCTGTCATGCTGCCAAACAGCATGGCAGATGCAACTCATCTAAAACGTGCTAGCTTTATGTGGCCATTTTGTACACAAACACTGTGTGAAAACTTATTTGTATAAAAATTGTGATCTACTCTGATTTTAACTATTATCACCATGATTAAAACACCTAACTCTTCAAGAAGCCACAACCAAGATTACTGAGGACTACTGCTTTGTATGAGGCACATTTTACAAAACACAGTCATGAAAATCATGCCACGGTGTGCTCCTGTGGGTTCTGATGCTGCTCTTGACAACTAGAAATACTCCGAAAAAATGAAGTTGCAAATTAGATACTGGTATTTTTCACCAGTAGATTTGGCAAAATTCAGAAAGCTGGTCTTCCTACTGAAAAACTACAGACACGTTTAGGGAAAAGGTTGTGGATACAAGAGGAAAACAAATCTGAACAGTGACCACTTGATCTAAACTAAGATCACTCCAGTTTACCATACTAGAATGTCTGACCTGAACTAGCTTATAAGGGTGCACAAAACAAAGTTTAATTCTAATGTGCATGTGAGAAAGAGAAAAACCTACAGATAATTCACCTGGAAAGATCCTTTCTTCTTCAACAGTATAGGCATATTTTTAATCTCACGTGCATACACAAATATACTTGATGTTTCAAATAACTTTCCATTAAACATCAGTCTGCAAAGTTACCAACTTGCATACTTGCTGGGAAGGCAGTGGAGTCAATATCCATGCATTTAGTGTGTAAGGGTAGCTTTTTGTAATTTCAGTCTACAACTAATAAATTACACATTCCTAGAAATATAAAAAGAGACTGAGAAAGACTTAGCAGTTAACCTTTCATAGGTTTCCTCTAATTAACTCACCCTCCAAAGGTAGTCTAACCCTATTAATTCCAGATCATCCATCATATAGGCTCGTCTCTTTGCTACTAGCTTGCCTTCTCGACAGTTCACAGCTTTGAAGAAACGTTCAAAACATTTCATTCCATTTTCTGTTAACAGGGAAGGATCCAGCTGAAGCACATTATTTTCAAAGAAGTCCTTATTAATGTCAGGGTCTAAGTCTGGTTCATCCCCCATTAGTTTGGAATACCATTTAAAACAGGCTTCGCGATCACAAAGATAAACCGCATTCTCAGCTAAACACTTCCATATTTGCTTCGCCTGAGGGGCACAGAGCCACAGCTGACCATCCTTCAATAAAAATCTTGAGCAAAACAAAGAGACAATTAACAGCACTGTCTAATAGACATCTAGAATTACAATTCAATAAGAAGTACAGGCAAAAAGCTGAGTAAGCATATTACACATGTATACATCCTAAGTATGACCATGAAAACTTTATTTATATCATAAGTCGACTCATAATTAGCCCCATGATTTCTTGGCAAGTTTGAATGGATCAAGATCTTATAGTCCAAATGAAAAAAGAATAAAATTTCGCAAAAAATGTTGTACACAAAAGTATCAATTACTCTTTATATAATACATAGAAATATACATTCCCTAAAGTAAACTACTTAATTTAAAAGTCAGGTCACAACATAAGAGACTAAATTACTTCTGCAATCACTCACTATCCTTTAGCAAAACCACAAAATGAGGTATCAGTTCTATGGAATAGAGCCAGAAGCAGAAGTCCGTGAATTGGAAAATTTTCTTTTCTTCTTTTTTTTTTTGTTAAATTTATGTTCATTATTAAAGCATTATTAACAACTTTTATTCTGAAAGCTAACATTAAGAATGTTTCAAGAAGAATAAAATTCTTCAGTACAATTGTTCTGATTAAAAAGCTTTTCTATGTAAAAGAAATCATGGACTAAGTTATGGTATTGCTTTTCAGGAATTGCTACCTATGCATTCTGCATTTTACAGCCATGGGACTTACTAAATTCCTTTACATTAACAACTACTGAACCTAAATTTAAGGAAGTTACAATTTTCAACATGCAGTAGTGATAAATTAAGTCTGCTATTCATATGCTATCATATGTCATCTTAATTCATAAAAATTTTGGCAAAATTTTTAAAAGTAAAAGTATCTCTTAGAAAACAAGTAAAAAAAAAAAATCAAGAGCTTGACAGTCTGAGAGTTCATGTGTTTTTATTTTTCTAAGAAAGGGTTAAAGTCAAGTAAAAAAAAGAGACACTGCCTATAAAGCATCACTATATTAAAGCTCTGTGATAAGAAGACATCCTTTGTTTTCTTAGTTCACTCAAACAGCAGCTGCTCAAAACTCATCTAAATAATTTTTATTTCAACCTCCTTCTAAGGCTCAGACGCTGACAACCTAACATCAATGTCTAACAAAAGTCTGTGTCAGTTTATGATGATGGATTTAAATCTGGTGTTGTACGACAATAAGAACACACAGACATGTCCCTACATGGAATATTTTGAATTTTCAGCTAAGTCATCCCAATACACATGTTTAACTGTATCCATATGCACATTGTGTTCAAATCAGTAGGGTTCTGCACTACAAATCTTTGTGCAGAATCAGACCCTTCCATTGCAAAGATCCTAATAAATTTTATCTGAATATTCCAACACAAGCTACAGAAGCCCTCTAAGAAAAATGAAACAAAATAAAACATTTGGAATACTTTTTGCATCTGAGTTTTGAAGGAAGGTAACACAGCAACTTAAAGCCAGATAGGAGATACAGATATGGTGGATTTTTTTTTTTGTTAAGTATTTAAAGTGCTCTTACGTAAGTTAAACAAATTATCAAGTGAAGACTAACCGTAAGAAGTTCAGTCGTTCCTGTACTTCCTGCACATGACTATATCTGCTTCCTGGCCTTACAGTTTGAGGATCATATTCACCATGCTCTGAAAATACAGAAAGTGTTATTAGACAATATATTCAGAAAAGACATGCTGCTTCTGAAATTCAGACAGGATGTGTCTGAAGGCTTGTTAGTCTAAATGTACGTAAACCCACTGAAAACCCAATAAATTTTCAGCAAGGTGAATTAAAATAATTTTTAGCAGCTACTACCAGTCAATGTTTCATCCTAAATTTGGTATAGGGAAACCAATGAAATCTATAATCAAATCTCACAGTTATGGAGAGATACATGTGCTCATCATTCAGTATAATTAAAGTATTACAGCACAATTATTCAAATATTTTAAATATTTTTTCCTTATTTTAGCACAGAGTTTTATGTCAGAAGTCAGTTACATTCATCAGTCTGACCTTGGTGCCAAGGAAGGTTATGGAGCAGATGACCTTGAGTGCCATCATAAGGCACATCCAGGACAACCAGGGGTTCACACCCAGCCAGCATGGGTTTATGAAAGGCAGGTCCTGCTTGACTAACCTGACCTCCTTCCATGACCAGGTGACCCACCTACTGGATAAGGGAAAGGCTGTGGATCTTGTCTACACAGACTTTAGTAAGGTCTTGGACACCGTTTCCCACAGCATCTTCCTGGAGAAACTGGCAGCTCATGGCTCGGATGGGCGCACTCTTTGCTGGGTAAAAAACTGGCTGGATGGCCAAGCCCAGTGAGTGGTGCTGGGTGGAATTAAATCCAGTTGGTGGTCACAAGTGGTGTTCCCCAGGGCTCAGTATCAGGGCCTGTTCTGTTTTATATATGTATCAATGCTCTGGATGAGGGAATTGAGGACACCCTCAGTAAGTTTGCAGACAATATGAAGAAGACTGGGAGCACAGATGTATTAGAGGGTAGGAAGGGTCTTCAAAGGGATCTGACAGGCTGGATTGATGGGCTGAGGCCTGCTATATGAGGTTCAACAACACCAAATGTTGGGTCCTGCAACTAGGTCACAACAGCCTCGGGCAATGTTACAAGACCTGGTGGTGCTGATGAACAACCAGCTGAACATGAGCCACCAGTGTGCCCAGGTGGCCAAGAAGGCCAACAGCATCCGGGCTTGAATCAGAAATAGTGTGGCCAGCTGGACTAGGGAAGTGATCATCCCCCTGTCCTTGGCACTGGTGAGGCCCCACTTTGAGTCCTGTGTTCAGATTTTGTGTTCAGTTTTGGACTCCTCACCACAAGAAAGACATTGAGGTGCTGGAGCATGTCCAAAGAAGGCCAATGAAGCTGGTGGAAGGTCTACAGAACAAGTCTAAAAAAGAGTGGTTGAGGGAACTGGGGTTGTTTAGTCTGGAGAAAAGAAGGCTCAAGGTAGCACTTCTCACTCTCTACAACTACCTGAAAGGAGACTGTATCAAGGTACGAGTCAGTCTCTTCTCCCAACTGACAATCAACAGGACAAGAAGAAATGGCCTCAAGTTGCACCAGTGGAGGTTTAGGTTGGATATTAAGAAAAATTTATTCGCTGAAAGGGTTATCAAGCACCGGAACAGGCTGCCCAGGGAAGCGGCTGTTTCGCCATCGCTGGACACATTTAAAAGGTGCGTAGGTATGGTGCTCAGGGACACGGTTCAGTGGTGGACTTGGCAGAGTCAGGTTAATGGTTGGACTTGATCTTAATAGTTTCCAACCAAAATGATTCTATGATTATAAAGGCATACCAAAACTTCAGTTTTCCATTTTAGGGTTTCCTCCTCCAAAGAAATCATGACTCCAATTCTTCCAACATCTAGCTATGTATGTGACATCACTTAAAGTATACAAAAACTTTTCTGCAAGTTTCTAAGTACAAAAAAAAAAAAATAGTCTGGAATACTGACAAGATTGAAACTGAAGTAGTTGAGTAATTTCAAAGTAAGGCAAGAAGTCAAACTTCTTCCTGTATTTTACCAAATTTCACCATAATATTTTAACAAATAGCTGTTTGCTTCATATGAACTTTATTTTTCTGTGGTTTTGTTTGTTGGATTTGATTTTTTGTGTGGTTATGGTTGTGTTTTGTTTTGTTTTTTTTTTAAATAGAGATACAGTCTAGATCTGTACTTTTACTATCTTTATCTGTACTAGTAATATTTCGTCATGACACATGTTCATTATGACAGGTCCATTATAAACTAAATAATGCCATATTTATTTGCAAAGTTAGACAGACTGTGTTTAACCGAGATGACCTAGCTGTGAGACACTATCAGAGAACATCTAGATGAGTGGTAAAATTTATCTTCAGAACCAAAAGTCCATATCTCCTATTACATCAAGGAGGAAAAAAAAAAAACCAAACACCACCAAAACAAGTCTAACAGCTGAAGTGTGCATTATCGGTGTTTCAAAATTAGGAGAAAAATAACTGTCATAAATACTGCTCTCTACATACAAGAGTAAAAAGCATATTAGCTTAAAAGTCAACTAAAAGGGAAAACAGAAGTCTAGTAGTTAACTGATGTCTACAGAACTGCAGAAATTACGTCCACCAGAAATCCTTCAAAAACTTAAATTATAATCCTAATGAAGTCAGCATAAGTGCACAGTTACCGTAAGAAGAAATGTAAAAAAAATTCTGCACATACTTCGAGTGTGGGGTGTTTTGGGTGGGTTTTTTTTTAGATTTTGTTTTGTTGGGGAAGAGGCTGTTTCTCTGAACTATGGGGAGTATCTGGGCTTTTTTTCTTCCTGACTAGAGATTAATTCATAGACACTAGTGTCAACAGGAGCAATGACAGAAGAGTGCAAGTATTAAAGGCCAGTCAGTTACCCAAAGGCAGTACATGTATACTTAAGAATTCTAGAAAAATGAATTACAAAAACCATTCTATCTCCCTAAGTATCCTCTACCTCAGCTTTCTTCTACATTTGTCCAATTTATTTTCTACACTGTGCACTTCACAGCAAATCCAAGTGCAATCTTAAAAATGCTCCCTACCCACAGGAGCATAAGAACAAACATGGAAAATAAAGAGCAAAAAACGACTGACTGAAAGTTTAGTGATAAACACTGTTCTGCCAATGACCAGGCCCAACAAAAATGATACCACCACCAGCAGGAAGATGAACCAATACACAGACTGTACTGTAGACGAGAAGGACTTTCCATGAATGATCACTGAGGGTACAAACAGATCAATCAGCTGGTACATAATTGACGCCACCCCCAACGATCCCACAAAGGACGTACATCGGCCCACAACAGGTGGCACAGAGACCGGAGGTTGCCCACAGCTGGCATGGGAAACAGCCAGCCCAGCCAGTTAAACACATAAGAGAAAGGTGCCCACATGGCAACTCTCACCCGATCGGCCCGCGTTCACAAAGGTCTAAACAGACTGGGGCCCAGCGCCAGGGAGAGTCAGGAGGTCTGCCCTGAACCAGGAAGCTCTGTGGAGTGCACTCCACAGACAGACACTCCTGACTCCCTGCAAGTGGTCCCAGCTTTTATCCCCAAGCAGACACCTGACCTTTGTCAACTCAATGTGGGACCCCTGGGGCTCATTTCCCTTATGGCTCTCCCTGCAGGGCCGGCCGCACCCTGGGGGGAAGCTATAAGGCAAACTCACCACCTCTTTATGAAGGGCTGTGGGAATCACTCATATGTCAACCTTAATTCGGGGGCTCGGGGGTCAAACCCCAGCATTTCAAGCACACAGATGATAGTATGGCACAATTTCTACAAATAAGTACATTTCATTAACACTTTGTATTTTTTATTACTTCAGAAAAACAGAAGATCAAGGAGAACTGACTAGCAATCTTCTAAAATTTTCAAAACATCTTTAATAAAGTCAAAACTGTGACCTCCTCTCCTTTAGGACTACGTAATACAATAGCAGTTGTCTCATCTCACAGAGGACTTTGCAGAGTTGGAAGAAAGAGTGAGTTCAGTAAAAGAGAAAGTCACAGATCATAGGAACAAAAAAAATTTGAAATATAGGTTACGCTTTTCTTTAAGCTTAAAAACGCAACCATAAAATGATTATGACAGACAAGAATATGCATTAGTGTGCAACAGAAGAACAGGAACATTGTCTCCATCACACAACAACCATGGAAGCTTTTAAGGAAAACAAAAATGTGGCAAGCTTTAAACTAATAATAATAAAATCACCACCACAACTGTAGCATCAACTGCCAAAAAGATATGTGGGTAACTGACTTTTTTTCCCCCCCCCCTCTGTGTTCTCTGTGCTCTGCTCTGTTTAGCATGTAAAACCAAAACTGAAAGAAGTTGCCCAGAAGCTCTGTATTACAGTAATAAAGCATCTAATAAAAAAATCCACACTATTGTTCATCTGTTTTTGTATTCTGATGCATATGAGTAGAAATCCTGCAGCAGCTTCATCTCAAGAAAGCAGAATTTAATTGCTTTGTAATTAGATTCTGTATAAACTCTTTGCACACTAATTCCTATCGTGCTGAAGATGTTTGCATTACTGCTTTACCAAGTCATTATGGGTGGGGAGGGGCAGGGCAATGGGACTCTTTTTGGCACAAGAAAAGACTCACGCAAGACATCAGGCTCATTTTTTCTGCCAGTCATCAGCAATTTGATAGTTAAATAATGTCAAAAATTACTTTTTTCACTTCACAGTTCAAAAATAATTGAAATTAATGAATAATACTTCATACAGTAATAGTATATGTAGGCTATTTTTAGACAAAGACAACATTGCATTGGAATATTCCTATTGATTATGGCCTAATCCTTCCTACCCTCCTAAGGCTAAACCCCAGATTTCATAGCTGGCCAACGTCTAAGGGAAA